ACCAAACTTTTAATAGATAACATAAATAAACTTTTTCTAAAAGTTCGATGGCATATTTGAGCTTTTTCCCAAAAATAAATAATAGAAACCGGGCCACGACCCAAATGGGTCTACAATTGTTGGATTCTCCAACCCAGGCCTATAAACAGCAAACCCTAAAAACTCTTATAAACCCTAATATTCCGCCTTTTCTTTATAAATTCAATCTTTGCTTCTCTCAAATTTCATCACTGCAGTTTTTCACTACAAACCCTAGCCAATTATCCCTTTCCCCCTTCTCTTGTCGAAGCTTTTTTCCTCTGTTTATGTTTTAGGTAAACGAAATCAAGATTGAGTTTTTTTTTCATTGTGGGGTTCCTCTATTTAGGGGTTATAGGTAAATGGAATCAAGATTGAGTTTTTTTTTTTTTAATTGGGGTTCTTCTGTTTAAGGTTTGAGATTGAGTTTTTGCATTTTGGGGTTGATCTGTGATGATGAATTTTAAGGCTTGTTTCTCAAAACATTCGCAGTGGCCGCCTAAGATCTTTCGCCTTCGCCAGGCTTGAGAGATAATGCTGCTTTTATCCTTCCTTGGATGTCTGAGATCTTCCCATTTTTTGTTCTTTAATTTATGTTTTATGTTTGTTTGAAGTTGGAATTGTGATAATTTTTGGTTAATTGATTTATTTATTTATTAGAATCTTATATTATATGGTGTCTATGATGATAATTGTTAAGGCTTGTTTCTCAAACATTCGCAGTGGCCGCCTAAGAGCTTTCGCCTTCGCCAGGCTTGAGAGTTAATGCTGCTTTTATCCTTCCTTGGATGTCTGAGACACCATCATTTTTTAGCTAACCATTGTTTTGTTATTTTGCTGTTGAATCTATCTGGGGTTTTCTCCATTTTGGTTTTAGCATGTAATTTTGCTATGTTGTGGTTTTTTTGCTTTTGAAACTATAATTTATGTTATCAATTTTGGATTTTATGGCTAAAGATCTTAGCTTTTATGAAAATAATCCCTTTGCTTATGAAATTAGGGGATTTTGGACTTTTAAGTCTGCCTCTCTAGCAATGAAAAAGTTGCTTTAGGGATGAACAAGTCCCTAATAATTGAATCCATTCATCACTTTGTCAGCATTACAATGTTTATGTTTTGCTGATCATTATCGGATGGTACAATTTTGAATTGCTTTAAGAAGTTGCTGTGTTTTGCTAAACTGTTTTGTTATGTCAATGATGATAGATCCTAAGGCTTGTTTCTCAAAACATTCGCAGTGGCCGCCTAAGTGCTTTCGCCTTCGCCAGGCTTGAGAGTATATGCTGCTTCTATCCTTCCTTGGATGTCTGAGGCTTTTTAACTAAGTTTAAGTTTTAGCTATGTTAGATTTGGTTCTTGTTTGATGATGAATATCTGTGTAATCGTCTTAGAACTAGTGTTCAATTGCTTATCTATTTCCTTCATGAACTTCTTGTCTTTTGCCTGTGATGATAGATCCTAAGGCTTGTTTCTCAAAACATTCGCAGTAGCCGCCTAAGTGCTTTCGCCTTCGCCAGGCTTGAGAGCATATGCTGCTTCTATCCTTTCTTGGATGTCTGAGGCTCTTTAACTTTGATTAAGTTTTAGCTGTGATAGATTGTGTTCTTGCTTGAAATGAATCTGTGTAATCCTCTCGGGACTAGTGTTCATTTGCTTTTTAACTTGTAAGTTTGGTAGATTTTGTTCTTGCTTGATGATGAATATCTATGTAATCCTCTTATGACTGGTGTTTTGATTGCTTGTTTCTTTCCCTTCATGAACCTTTTTCCTATTGCCCATGATGATATATCTCAAGGCTTGTTTCTCAAAACATTCGCAGTGGCCGCCTAAGTGCTTTCGCCTTCGCCAGGCTTGAGAGCATATGCTGCTTCTATCCTTCCTTGGATGTCTGAGGCTCTTTTACTATGTTTAATTTTTAGCTAAGCATGATTTTGTTCTTGCTTGATGATGAATAGGAGACTAATAATAACACCACTGTATTTGTAACTCCTCTTAGTACTATTGTTCACTTGCTTAGTTTTCTTGATATTCATTTTTTTTTGCCCATGATGATAGATCCTAAGGCTTGTTTCTCAAAACATTCGCAGTGGCCGCCTAAGTGCTTTCGCCTTCGCCAGGCTTGAGAGCATATGCTGCTTTTATCCTTCCTTGGATGTCTGAGGCTATTAAATTATGTTTAATTTTTTACTGTGGTTTTATTCATTCTTGATGATGATTAGGAACTATAAGGATACTTCTGTATGTGTAACTCCTCTTAAAACTAGTGTGCACTAGGTTTGTTTCTTTAATAAACCTTTTACTCTTTTTGGTCCACGATGATAGATCCAAAGGCTTGTTTCTCAAAACATTCGCAGTTGCTGACTAAGTGCTTTCGCCTTCGCCAGTCTTGAGAGTATATGCTGCTTTTATCCTTCCTTGGATGTTTGAGGTCTTTTTTTGCTATATTTTAGTATTTTCCCTATGCTTTTTTATTGTTCATATATATTTAAATTCAAATTGTCTCCTATTTTAAGTAGGTAGATACTGTCTTTTATTTTACCACACTAGTAATTGTACTTGTCACTTGGTGTTACCTTTTATAAGTTACATTCAATTTTATTTTCTTTGATTGGCTTTGATGTTAACCTGATACTATATCATTGTCATAAATGGTTGGAATTAAGCTTTTATGAATATTTGATTTGTGTTCCTAGTAAAGTTTGAGCTTCGTATACATCATCTACTCTTCCCTACTCAGGTTCCTACTATCAAGTTTGAGCTGCCCTGATCAATTTATTGTCCTTTGAGTGTATTATATTGTTTTGTATATGGTATTAGCACATCTATGTTTTTGTTCTTGCTTCACAAAGATATAAAGACCAATAGTAATGCACAGATGTATGTGCAACTCCTAAAACTAGTGTTCATAGAAGCTTTTGTATTGTCCTGTGAAGATAGATCCTAAGGCTTGTGTCTCAAAACATTTGCACTGACCGCCTAAGAGCTTTCGCCTTCGCTAGGCTTGAGAGTTTATGCTGCTTTTATCCTTCCTTGGATGTCTGAGGCCTTTCAAAATGTTGCTTCATCCCCACCCCATATGTTATATTGCAGCTATTGCCTTTTTCAGTCTTCACAACATTTCGTACTCTGAAATTACAACAACATACCCAGTGAAATCCCACAAGTGGGGTTTGATGATGGTAGATTGTACGCAGGCCTTAGTGAAGTTGTTTCGTCGGCTCAAGTGCATACTCATATTACATTGAGATAAAATGCTACTGTTTTGGGCTATGATTATAAAGAGAGAGGATAAAGTGAAGAATTTCTCATTTTTGAATGAGATTTGGTAGATAAATTTGCATAACATAGGGTTTCTGATATAGTTGCCCCCTAATAGCTGTTGGTGGCTTTATTATTAACTCTATATTGTGCATCTTTGTTCTATTCTTTTGAACATGAGATTTCTTCACAATGAACCTTCTATAAAATACACTTGATATGAGCCCTTTACACTTCAATAAAACCAAACTGTATTTGATAGTTTTTCTAGACCAAAATAATTAAGTGAATTTATTTTGTTGTTTACATATTATAATAACCTTAATCTAACATAGTACAATATTTTTGACTTCAGAATTTGTGTTTGTATTCTGATAATAGGTACTCTTTTTCATATATCAATTCAAATTTGTATTTTATAAAGTCAATTTATTTTGCTGTTTACCTATGATGTACATTTTTTTTTTCGAATTTAAAATTTGTGTTTGTATTTAATTAATAGGTGTTCTCATATATCAATTGAAATTTGTACATGTATATATATACTTTTTATATATTCATGGTATATATCTATATAAAAAATAAATAAGTTTTTGAGACTTGCAACATATAGAATGGCAGATCACTTTATAAATTTAAATTTATAATTATTAAAATTCTAGTTTTTAGTTACACAAACAAGAATGACAGATCACTTTATAAACAAGTTTCAATGCCACTTATGCAAAATAATTAGTAATAAATAGTGCTATAGTTTATAACAAATTCTTTACAAAATCTCTATTTATATGGTAAATAAAATTTAATTTATAATTTAGAAAACATTTTATTAATTACAAGCATTACTCATGTAACATTAAAATAATAATAATGGGAAAACCACAGTTCATAGACAGATGTGGAGAGATATTTTAATGAACCATATTAATAATTTTATATCTCTGTACTCTTAAAAAATGAATATTTGTGATTATAAATTTTAAATACATTTAAGTTTATAAAAAGCCATTTGTCAACAATTACATTCATATTGTATGTTCCATTTAAATACTAATTTAATTTGGGTATTGTAGTAAAATACTTTTATCAATTATTGCTTTTTATGAAACAAATTAAATTTAAAGTGGATAAATAAAAATCAAATGAGGGATACTCTTTAAAAAATTAAACTATATATGCAGTATTTTAAAGGAAAATCTTATTCATTGTTTAAAAATCTTATTCATTGTCCAAGAATTTAGCCAATTAAAGAAACTTAACAAAATTTATTTACTGTGATTTTCTTGGTGTAAAAATATAAAGAATTGTTACATACCAGATATTTTATAGATAATGAAATTAAATGATAATGGGTAATTAAAGGCCGCTTTTCAAATATATATGATTCAATAAAAAACACTATATCATATAGCTCAATATATCATATTAATAACGTTATATTCGAGGAAGCATTACACGAGACATTAACCTTTTACGTGACATAATTTTTAATTTGTTTACTTAAAATCAAAACAAATTATTTTCAAAATAAAAATTAACACTTCTTTTTTACAACAAATCAATTTCCAATTTACACCTGGTCAAAGGGAAAAAGAGAAATGTCCTAATTGATTAAAACGGAAAGTAAAAAGAAAAAGAGAGAAAATTATTATATTAATGGAAAAAACTATACAATAAAAAAAGAAAAAGCTAACAAACCATCATTAAATCCACCGCATTTGAACCACAAGCGCCATTTAAAAGTTGAACAAAAAGCCAAAAAAGGAAAAAAGGGACAAAAAAATTTAATGAAAGTAAATAATTTTTACTTGTGTTTTCTTCTTCTTGTTGCTTTAGCAAAGTGACAAAGAATCAATCTTTCATGGCTAAACAGCCTAAGCTCGTGTACCAGTCTTGGAAGGCCAACAATGTAAGCACCTCTTACTAGTTTATATACTTATTTAACAATAATTTTGCTTTCTTGATTTTTTATTTTTTATTTTTTTTTGGTTGAGGTTATGTTTTTGTTTTGAAGTTTATTGATAATTGGGTGTGGTTATATTGTAATAATGATTGATGGGTTGGTGTTACTTTGCTGGAATTTGATGTGGGGTTTACTGTTTTAAGAGTTAGCTTGTGTTGATGAGAAAAAAAATGAAAGCTTTGGTCTTTTGGGGTTGGGGGTGTTGGAATTGAGTTGTGTTTGTGGGGTTCTTTGTATTGAGTTTCTGGTTTGTTACTTTCTATGGATGGCTATTTCAAATTCTTGAAATAGCTGTGAAGAAGTAAAATTTGTTGGAATAATGGTTATTGAGGTGGGATGAGAATTATGAAGTCTCACGTTCAAACCTAAGCAAAGGATGAAAACAGTATGTCAGTTCTTTCCATTTGTTTGAGTCTTGATGGATGGAATTACCTGGTATTTGTTCTGGTGGGAGGTAGCTGATACGCGTGGTTGATGGTTAGTAGTCTCGGATGGTTTCTTATGGTCCAATGAGCTATTTAGCATTAGAGGAAGGAATAATTGTTCGTTAGTTGTAGTTAGTTCATTAGTTTTAGTTAGTTCGTTAGTTGTAGTTAGTTCGTTAGTTTTAGTTAGTTCGTTAGTTGTAGTTAGTTCAATAAAGTCTCGGCATTGATGAAATAAATTATGATCAAGAATTCTGTTGGGGCCAACCGTTAGGATCAACAACAACCTTTGAAACTTGGAAATAATGGGTCCGTTCATCTACCCTTTTCCACTTAAATATTAGGCTTAATTTGCATGATGTAGGGGTTGAACATGTGACGTAATCACAAGTCCCTCAATAGTTGCCACTTGAACTAAGCCTATCATGATGTATTCCTAGTAATCCTTCATGATTACTAATGGTAACTTGTAATTTCATCATTTAAGAGCTTTGCTCCTCAATGCTAAGTTGCGGGTATTTGATACGGGTATGGATCTAGAGGTCGGATCCTTCATGAGCTAAATTTTAAGATTTGGGGATATGGATTCAGGTTTTAATATGGGTGCAGGGATTCGGCTAAAAATAGAGCTATAAAACCTAAATTATGAGATATTATGTAGAAAACTTTAGGAGAAAATATTAATAAGAGGAGAATCTTGGAAGGAGATAAATGGAAAGGGAGTGTCTTAAGAAATTTCTATATACAAGTTATTCCATTTTCTTCAATTTCACGAGCTTTTGTTTAGATTACAGAAATAATTGAACCTGTCCGGAATTTCTCCGTCGATTTTGGTCAAAGTACCCAAAATCTGTTGACCCGATTGGGTATGGATCCCACACCCATGTCGTGTCGACACGGGTGCTATAGCAAAAGTGAAGAGTCTGAGCAACTTAGCATCAAAGCGATAGTTATGGTTGTGGTCTCAACATACTACATCTGGTGTGACGTGGGGCATACTCTTTGACCTGAATTTTGATATTTCTAGTAGGATTGTCATTCAGGGCCTAAAATTATAAGGATTTTTGCAAGATTTGGCACTTCTAGCTGTGAAAATCTAAGGTAAAGTGGAAATTAAGAAAGAACAAATATCATCCTTATTAACTTGATGTTTTTGGTATATGACTTGAATATGGGGATTTCTCCTTCTTACATCAATTAAACTACTTATCCAAAAAAAAGTTTCTCTCATGATGCGCATAAGATACAAGAGCCACCTGACATAGGTGTTAAAAGTTAGGAAGCACTCGACAGCTATGAAGAGTGATTACATACCTTAGTGAGATTGTAGAAAATATAGAAATATATATGAGCTTGATAAAGGATTGACTGCAGTGCACTAATGCACTGCTTGACTGCGCTAATTGTGGTACTGGCTTATTTATACAGTTATTACACAACTTACTATTATAGCACTGATCTTGACTTTAATAGCAGTGCATTTGTTGCCATGCCATTAATTATCTTATATTTTAAAGCTTAAGGTGAATCAACTTGAGTTACTAATAATTTGTGGCTCTGATAACCAAATAATGCCATGGCACTGATGACATTGTGGTGCTAACTTCGTCCTGATTAGAAACACGTTATTGGACAGTGATGTATAGTTGGACAACAACATGCCACCAACTGTGTTGACTGGTAAAGGATTACTGAATGTCAATGTCGATGGTGAGCGCTGGGCTATGTGTGGCAAATTAATCACGTGATGCTATTTAAACTGATAGTATGCCTTCCTATCTAATGTCATTATTTGCTATGGCTGATGCAATTGAAAGAAAGATGAACTCTATGAGGAATAAGTTCTTATGGGAAGGAAATCGTAGCAACAAAAAGTTTCACTTAGTTAGATGGCAAGTGGTCACTAGTGCAAAGGAAGGGAGTGGATTGGGAATTAGAAACTTGAGATTGCACAATAAAAGCATGTTGTGTAAGTGGCTTTGGAGATTTAGCAGGAACGAAGGGGTGGTCTGGATCAAAATAATTGAAGCAATCTATGGTAGCAGGCAAGGCTGGAATCCCCCCTTCAAATATTTCATACACTAGAGGGGGAGTATGGAAAGGGATTTGTAAGTTATGGGCCAAGTTTCAAGTTTCAACAATTCACCAAATTGTAGGTGGGGAATGGAGCAAAAATTAGATTTTGGACTGACTTATGGACGGGTGATGAGTGCTTGAAACAAAAATTTCCTCTTTTTTTCAGTTGTTGCAATAACAAAGATGGAGTTGTGGCTGATTTTTATTTCAACACGGGATGGCAGATGAATTTTAGAAGGAATTTGAATGATTGGGAAATTGACGACTTTTGTCTATTGCTCCTTCAACTGGATTATACCCACATTGATCAGAGTAAAGGGGATTCACTAGTATGGATAGCTAGTATGATGGAACCTTTTCAGTAAAAAAGTGCTATAACCTTCTAATGAAACAAACAAGATTTTGTGATACTAGTTGGCCATGGAAAGGGATTTGGGGAACTAAAGCTCCTATAAAGGTAGCTTGTTTTGGTTGGATTGTAGCATGAGGAGCTTTCCTTACTCAGGATAATCTTCAGATAAAGGGTTTTGCACTAAGTAATCAATGTTACTTATGTGACGAAGAGTTGGAGACTGTGAATCACCTTCTTTTGCATTGCAGAATAGCTAGACAATGTTGGGAATTTTTCTTCAGTATTTGCAGGATCTCTTGGATCATGCCTCAGTGTGTGAAGGAATTATTGGAGAGTTGGCAGCACCAGGGAACACACAAAGCTTTGAAGCAAATCTGGAGAACTATACCTTTGTGCATATTCTAGACTATCTGGCTAGAAAGAAATAAAGCTTGTTTTGATGGGCAAAAAGACCATATTTCTAGAGTTAAATTAAGTGTTTACATAATTTGTTTGCTGGTGTAAAAGCAGTTTCCTTGATAATATAGATCAATATATGGAGTTTTTGGAGCTGCTAGGGAGATGTTGTAATTGACTGTATGGATATTCCCCGCTGTCTTTTGTAACTTTTGGTTTTGGTACCTTCTTGTTACCTAGTCAATAAATCTTTACCGTATCAAAAAAAAAAAAAGAGAAATGTATTGATGGATGACAATGTGTTGCTGGACTGCGGCATGCTGCTGATTGAGCGTTGACTGAAGACGTGTTACCGGATGGTAACATGACACTTAATATGCATTAACCAAAACGTGTTGTTGTACAGAAACTAAGTGTTTACTACAAACTTGTTCACGGATGGTGACAAACTTGTCCGCGTACTGATGCTGATGTTAAACATGGCATGTGCTGCTGGAACAATCACAGGAATAGACATGAATAGGCAGTGGGTACCATTTATTAAAAAAAATTTAATAGACATCGCAGAGGAAACACAGTGCTGTCGAAATATCAGCAGCATCAAACTGGCAGGAAGCAACGAGAAAGGTCTGAATGGAAAGAGGTGAATGGTCTCTTGAACGAGACAAGATTTTTTTTCTCATGCCCGTATTCTTCTATATGTGTCTGTTCACGAGCTATCCTTTGGACATACTGCTTTTGACAATCACTTTTAGCAGGGTACTTTTCTCATTGCAAGAGAAATGCTGAGTGACACTTGCAAAATATGGATCATGGTTGTACTTTCCTTCCCAAAGGAAAGATTGTATTGTTATGAATTTTTTCTCTGTAATATATATATATAGATAGCATATTCCATAGATAGAGGTAAAATCATAATTTATCTGTGTTATAAATACATGACATTGTTGTGATTGTCAATATTTTTATCCTTTTAACTATAAATAATTCAATTCAAATTGATGAAAAGTCAGTAAATGTGAGCATCACAGTATTTGCAGAAATATGAGCTGCCTGGAAATTTCTGGTGTAATCTGGAAGTTTTTATTCAACATAGAAAGCGGTTGTTCCTATTAGTGGACTAGGCTCAGCTGATAGAAATAGGATCTCCTAAGTCCAATATATGCGAGCATAGTTGTGATATTGGTACCGACAGAGAGCACCTGTAATTCATTTTTACTTATGTTTGAGATTTTAAGTTTAAAATTTAGTGCAAAATTTAGATCACAGTTTCGTTTATGTTGGAGTTAGTCTACTGAAAGGCAGTGGTGGCTTGAACATTGAGATGCAATACCAATTACCAGGGACTCGTTGATCAAACTTGCAAGTTCCTAATGTTAGTCATTTTTTGTAGGTAGGCCATAAGTTGATACATCTTTTGTTTAGAAGGGGTAATATATAATATGTCATGGTGGTTTAAGGGTATACCAACAATGTGATTCAGTTAAAGCACCAATTGGTGAAATGAATCAAAGACAATTTTTCTGTTCTACTAGGCTTTTCTACTTGTTACGGACTCCTCGGAAACTGTAATGTAGCTGGGGATCTTAGCCTTCTTTGATCAATAAAAGGATCTTTTGATGCCTAGTGACCATCTGGAAGGAAAAAGCTCTCATCTTCTCAAACATGAGTGCACTTGAAATTTACGACCTCAAATTTAAAAACTATGGTTTCTCCTTAAAAAAAAACTGTCCTATCTAAAAAGAAAAAGAGAAGTGACTGTGACGCCCCAATTCACCTTCAACACCCAAGGGAACTTCTTAAATTTGCTGTCTGTAAAGTAGCTACGTATTGTGATCAATTGTTTGTTTCCTAAAACAAGAATCTATCTGTTGATTTTGCGACTGAGTATGAGTATGCTATTTTTCACTTGGACATATGTCCTTGTACTTGACTCTTTTTTTGTGGTTTATGTCATGTGCAGAAATTCTTGCTTGGTGGGAGGCTAATATTTGGACCAGATGCTAAGTCATTGATTATCACCTTCACGCTCATCCTTGTCCCTGTTGTTCTATTTTGTGTATTTGTGGCAAGAAATCTCGTGCTTGAACTCCAACGAGAAAGTGCAGGATATGCAATTTTGGTGATAACTATTGTCTTCACAATTTATGTTAGTTTCTTAACTCTTCCTTTTAGTGTCTGTTAATGATCCACTTTGCATGCGTTTCATGAAAATTCCATGTGTTCCTTCTTCAATTTTTTGAACAGAAATCTGTCTATGAGTTTCTGCCTTCCCCTTTTTCCCTCCCAAAAAGAAGTAGAGGCTTGATTTCTACCAAGATACCCACCTTGCTCACCCTGTTGCTTACATTGTTGCCAGCTGCCTTTACCCCTGTTTTTTGCTTAACTTTCATAACTGCCAACGTGCATTCTTCTTTTCTTCTCATAAGGTTAGCACTCATTCTTGAAGACACACATATATTCTTTTGGGGTGGGCAGGTGGTTTGCAGCAGTTGGAATCCTATAGTATCATCATAATGCTCTATTCTGTTGTTTCTTAGTATTTCAATATCCTAATGTGGTATTGGTTGCCATAGGTCTTTATACTTCTACTTTCAACATCAGCAAATGATCCTGGCATTGTTCCTCGTAATTCTCATCCTCCAGAGGAAGTTCTAGGGTATGATTCTTCAGCTTCCGTTGAAACTGGCAGTAGACCGCCTCGCTTCAAAGAAGTCCTTGTGAATGGTTTGCCTGTACGAGTTAAATATTGTGAAACGTGCATGTTGTACCGTCCACCAAGATGCTCTCATTGCTCGGTATGTGATAATTGTGTGGAGCGATTTGATCATCATTGCCCTTGGGTGGGTCAATGCATTGGGAAGGTAAGTACATCCATTTTTTCATTACTATTTCTTTTTCTTGAAGTTCCATGGAGAATTCTCTATTTGTTACTTTTCTTACGCTTCCTAATTTATTTGGTTCATTTAAAGATGAAATGTGCCAACTGTATCCTGACTCCAAAATGCTGATATTGGAAAAAAGTTAATATACAAATTTTAGGAGAAGAGAAGCTCTTCTTCTTTTCTAAATGCTGTTTCGATATCCTTTTGAGACACTTTCCTTTTTTCTCTTCTTCTTTGTTGGTGCACAGCGGAACTATCGGTGCTTCTTTCTATTTGTTTCTTCAACAGCCCTCCTTTGTGTTTTCGTCTTTTCCATATCGGCTTTGTATCTGAAACTTCTTATGGATGATTCTGGAACTCTTTGGAAAGCTATCAAAGAATCACCGGCATCTGCAGCATTGATGGCCTATTGTTTTATTGCACTGTGGTTTGTTGGAGGTCTTACTGGCTTCCATTTGTATCTCATTGGTACAAATCAGGTTAGTTTGGTTTGAAACCTCTTACAATTAATAATTTAACGCTTTTCTGCTGTATTGCATCTGAGTACTATCAATCATAGTAATATTTTTTATTCCTAGATGACGACTCCATTATTGTCATGGTGTTATTGGACACAAGTATGCATCCCTTCCAAATGATTGATGGCTTGTCAGTGACACTTGTCCATGCATTTAGAAAATTTAATACAAATGATTAGGAGAAAAGTAGAAGATAATGACTCCCTTTTGGCCTCTATTTGCTATCATGGAGGGAATTCTTTTTTGACGTTTCTTCTTTACATTTTGTTAGTTATTTTTCAAGGGTTGTTTTTCCAGAAAAATGTGACAAATGTTTGTATGATTTTGTTAATTCATATATATTAGAGGAAGTGGAATGTTCTATTTCAAGAATATGATCTATAGTTAAGACTTGAGATCATCTAATTTAAAATGTAAAACACGTATTTCCTCGAGTAATATATGTTTCTTTCTAATGTTTTTTTTCCCCCTTGCCAATCTGTCAGTGTGTTGTTTCTTTGTTCATGATGATGGTTCATATATTCCTCATAAGAGCCTCTCTACGGGCTAGACTTGTTGATTTAGCTATAAAGAACAAATGCCTAAGTTTGTTCCATCTCATGCTCTTTTTCCATTTGTTCTATTTCATAAGATGCTCTATTATTTTAAACTTTATTCTTCTTGTCTTCCATAACTTCCGAAAGAAAAGGAATTGGAAAAACATCTGAAGGAGTAACTTTTTAGTAGTAAAAAGAGAGTGCTGTTGAAAGAGGAACGGTATGAATATTTTTTGTGATCCTATCACACTTTAAGAAAAAATAGTTGATAGATATACAACTTTTAGTGGCTTTATAATTGCTGTTCGATGAAGGAGATTGATCGCCTTCTCATTATACAATTTTGACTTGTTTTATTGCTAATGATTTCTGCAGACCACATATGAGAACTTTCGTTATAAGGGAGACAACAGGGTGTATAACCGGGGATGCATAAAAAATTTTCTTCAACTATTCTGCTCAAGGATTGAACCTTCAAAAATCAATTTTCGCAGCTATGTACAGGAAGGGGCGTCAAAGCCTCCTAAGAGTAACATTCAAGAAACAGATATAAATATCTCTGATGGGGATACACGAATTAAGGTGGAAGACGATCTTGATATTGGAGATGATATTATGAAGATATCCCAACGCCGTAACTCTGAGGAAATTGGTGATGTTAGAGGTAGAGGAAGTGACAGGTCGCCAATTGGTCGTTCTGAGGTTGATTTTGGGTTTGGTCTGGAGTCCCAGTTTTCCTCCAGACCCTCATACTAAGCAGAACAAGTGGAAAGAAACCAAATTCAATATCACCAATTTTTTCCCAACAATACATTCCTATTTCGTCCTGCTGACATTATTTAGATCACTCAAAAGGAGGTTCAACTGATCATTTATTGAGGTTTAAGATGCAACACAACACTTGTTGCTAGCCATGAATATGCATCGGTGTCTCTTTCTCGAGCTGGGCTCTCCCTGTTAGCGTGAAGAGATGAGATGGATAATCGGTCCATCTCAAGTGTTTACTGGTTTTAACTATTTATTGGAAGAACTATAGCTGTTTGAATTCTTTACTTTGTATCTAACTCTGAATTTAAACAATGTGTACATCTGTTCTTGTGGTTAGAGTTTGTTCCATACAAGGATATAAAAACTCACATTTGAACAAATTGTTTATGCATTGTTTGATAACCATGGCAGAGAAAATGGAGTAGTGGGAGAAAATTGGTTATTCAAGTGAAGTTCCATTTAGTTGCAAGTAATTTCAATTTACTAGGTCTCCATATGCAAGTGTCATTTTGGTATTGTATATAAATAAATAATATAGGCAGATTTGATCAACAACCACCTAAAGTTGACACGAGTTTGCGCTCAATTAGTTCCTCATGTGCATAAGAAGCCGAGGCAAACTCGATTGAAGCCACACTCAATTTTACTTATAGAAATTACATACAATCAAAGGGGAGCGAGCATAAGCAAGCTCAATGGTATAAACCTTTGTAATCGATGGGAACCTTGAAGTTGTCTCGCAGTGGTGGGCGGTTTCAGGATTTTAAGATTGTGGGTGCTTCTTTAGCTATCAATTACAAAATATAAGTGCACAAATTTAACACATGTCTTTAGAAAAACAATGCAGGTTAGGGCGTTGGGAGGAAGGCGTTTAATAAAATAAAATAATCAAATTGAAATAAATAAGTAGAAAAAGGAGAATTGAATTTGAAACAAAAAATTTATGTGCTAAGAGGGAATCAAACCTTGGAATATAAGCTAGCTAACAGGCTTATGCACTTGTAACCACTACACCAACCAAACTATTTGGAGTCAATTCTGATTATCCAAGTTTAAGAATTTGCCTTGAAATATCATTTGTGTTTCTTTTAGGACCAAAATATCACTCAACTATCACTATTTTCCTCCAAATATACTTGACACTTCAAAAGCCCACTCTCTCCTAGTTGGCATGACATGTCATTAAAGTCTTTTTTTAATAATAGACTATTTCGATTCATTAAACCATTAAACTAAAAATAATGATCATATTATTTTTTTTAAAATATCTACATTAGTTTATTAAGAATAAATCTTCATACTTAAGAATCTTTTATTATAATTAAACTTCTTTTATTTATTTATTTTATGTTATGAAGAATAGGTTTTTAAAATGTACTATAATATCATCAATTTTGAATACTTATAAACATATACATTAAAAAAAAATCGATATACATATTACTCGGGAATGCGAACTTACATCAATTAATCATAAGTTTTATAATGAATCAATGATATTACATGTCAATTAACTATTACAATAAAATTAATTGTGTATTTTGAAATTCATGCTTACCTGGGTGCTCGACTTTAATTTTTATACGTCATCTCTTAATTTCTATATAAGTACATATAGTTCGATACGAGGTTAATGGGTGCTCGAGCATCCAAAAGGGATCATGTGGGTCCGCCTCGGCTGTCTAGGGCATGCGGAAATTCGTATTAAGTACTGCCCCAACACCAACTAGTACAAGGAGGAGACAAGATAAGCGAAGATCAATCCATCTCAATTTACAAAAAAGTATTGTCTTGGACATGATGCAACCCAAGCAGTGTAAAGTGTTTGCTACTTTCAATCAGAAAAGACAAAATTGAACAAGGCAAAGGAAAATGAGTTGTCCCCCCTTCTCTGGTAATCCACCTGCCAAATTTGTAGAAAAAGAATGAGCGGAGAAGAAAAAACAATCATTTGACTTTGACTAGCAAGTTTGTGTAGGTAACATAATGTTTGTTAGATTGCAATCTTGAAATTATGGTTCGACCTTGTCTTTGGCCTTAAGGAGTAGTGAGCAACACAAAACTTGTTTCAATCAAATGACAATGTATTATGGTTGAAGGCTTTCCTTTGTTATAAAATTCCACAGATAAGATTCTATCACTTCCAGTAAGATGAGAATAAACTTATACGGTACGCTTCAATAGAATAAATTCAATAAGGATAAAATAGGCCCTATGATCGATTGAAAATGTTGTATCACTTGAACTCAATCCATCTGAATTTCAATCCATATTTGTTCAGTCAACTCATAACAAAATGTTAGATCAAGACAGACACAATCAAATTGAATGCGGACAGAGGACCCCCATCAACCAAGCCCTGCCGCTCCTAAAAGTAAAGATCGAAAAGCTGCCAATCGAGAAATATTATTAATTCAACAAATTGTTTGAACATAAAATTATTATAAAATTCAAAATTCAATTTCAAAAACTATTTTCACAGTTTCCGCTCCAAATCACTCATAAAAATATAAAAAAAAACATACCTCAATTTATATTCATATTAAACACAACTTAATTTTAAATTACCATTTTCAACTCGAAAACAAATCCTTGCTTTTTTTTTCCACTTTCACAATTCTAACTTCAATTTTTTAAAATAAAATAAAATAAATTTTAAATTTTCATAATCAAATTGGTTTGTCCAATTTTTCAACTTTAAAATGTAGATTTAAATTTTTTTCTAAAAGATATTAATTCTTTTTTTTTTTTTGTCAAGCATAACTACTCCTACAAGAAAACTAGACAAATAAAATTAATAGAAAACAAGTTAAAAACACTCTAAAGTAAAAGTCTTCAAACTCTACTCTCTCTCTCTCTCTCTCTCTCTCTTCTAGGGTTTGTGAGAATCGATCTCAATCGAACTTCAAAAAAAACTTAACAATCAATATGGTAAGCTTCGATTTTTCTTTCGATTTGTATAATTCGTGCTCAATTTTCGATCTTAGCGCTGTTTATCATGTTTTGTTGTTTACAGGAAGGTGATGGGAAATTGGAGGCGCAAATTGAGGCGCTTCTGAATGTAGAGAAGCAGATGAGACAAGCTGGCGACGTCGCCAGTACTAGAAAAGCAGCTACAGACATTCTTCAGCTTTGCTTTGAAGCTCGCGCATGGAAAACTTTAAATGAACAGATTGTTCTATTGTCTAAGCGCCGTGGACAATTGAAACAGGCATGTTTGTCTATTTTATTTATTAATTAGTTGATTTTTACAACTTTAAAATTTGGGTTTTGGTTTGTTTATGAATCTGGTCTTGAAAATCATGTTTTTGTTTGCTAAATTATGTGAAGGAAAAAGTAGGAAGTTTTAGAGATCAGTATATTATTGTGTGGTTAAGCTGTTGGTTGTAACTAAAGATCTTGATTTTTCACGTAATTGAAGTTTTGATTTGACCTATTGAGTTTCATATAGTAATACTTTACTGAGTAAATAAGCAAAATTTGATCTTGACCATCACATAAGCAAAATTGATTTGATGAAGAACCCACCTGTGATATGCTGATAGAAGGCATGTTTTGAACTTAGAGGGCAATGTACTGGACTTACTTTCAGACCGTCCTCTTTTTTTTCACTTTTTGTTTTTCTGATTTATAGTACCAAAATAGTTGAGTTCTTTCTCTGAAATGTATAAATTTCGATATATTAGTATAATTGTTTGTGCAGTATGTATGATATGCTGGAGCTATAATACACTTTCTAGGTTCTTCCTTGCTCTTGTAGTCTTGCTGTAAATTCAATGGAAAGAGCATGTAGACGTGCTGATTACTTAGTGTGTTAATTAAAAACTTCATCAGTTTTAGCTTTGCAGACTTGTAACATGAGGAAGTAGGTGAGGGCGTTGGGTCAATGTTCTTCTCTAGGTCTAGGTGAGTGGATAGGCTCATCTTTATGCTTTGCTTGGTACAAAAGGAATGGAAGAGAGATTCTTTCCTTTGTTTGGACTTTGGAAAAGCAAAAGCACAGAGTAGTGCTTAGTATTTTAGTTTACTTGATTAAAAAGATATGTGGGACTACCTATGAATGCTTCCATGAACATAGCAGAAGTTTGTATAGGCTGTGGTCTACTTAGAAAAAGTGGAAAGTTATCCTGTTTGTTTTTTAAGTGATACGGGAACACTAACTCTCGTGCCATCCACTTTTAACACTGCTAAAAAAAACACTGCTAAAAAAGGGGTACTACTTGATAGGGTGTTGGATGAATTTTGCCTCTCTTAAGTTTTAAAAAAAAAGGTTGAGGAACTTGCGAGTCTTACACTATGCGGACGGCGGACCAAGCTTTGTATTTAGGTGGAGATCGATAGAAGAAGGGTGGGCCCATTTCCCCATGTTTTGAAGGGTCTCAATCATTAAAAAAGAAGTAGTAAAGACTGAAGAGAGTCTTACATTGTTGTGTTCCAACATAAGAAATGCTGGTAAGGAAAATACATACAGGATGGTTAATACGCAAGTTCGAATCCTCATTTGGATTTCACTGGGTATGTCGCTGTTCACAATTGCCATGTTGCGCCGAGATTTTGCCTGTTTAATTGATGAACTACTTTAGAGACGGCTTCGTTTGCAATTCCCTTTTTCAGATTTTTGATGGAGTTGTTTATTAGGATTATTATTTCAGTGCGACATTTGGTTTCTCGACCTCTAGATCTAATATTCGTATTTATGCTTATTGAAAATAAACGGTCGAAACCGGATTAGTAGGATTTGAGTAAAATGAAAGATAGGTAAACACACATTTGAGCTTTTACCCTGTCCAAAAAAGAAGGTGAAGACACATTTTAGCTCTCTTGGAAATGAATTTGGAAAGGATGAATGTAGGGCCAAAGTTCTTGGTTAGTGATGTTGGTGGAGGGGTCCTACAGAAATGCTAGGAATCAAATTCAAACAAATAGAGGTTAGGAGGGGTGAGGTACAAGGAAAAATGTCAACTACGACCAAAATACAAAAACAGAAACCTATGTTGGCAACCAAATTGTGGGTTAGCAGCTTTATATGTGTGGAACTTTTAAACCAGGCTTCCTATGGCTGCAAAAATTTATCTGGGAGA